AGGCGTCCCTGGGGAATCATTATCTTAATGTGTGTTTTCTCTTTTGGTTGTGGCATCCGCCTCCAGTGCAGCCGGGTAGCTGCCCGAGGGGCTACCTCCATGCGAGGGAAACTCCTTGCTGACTACTCAGGGCATGTTGTGGAAGGGGGGGGCATGTGAGATTTTAAGAGCTGGTTGTGAAGGCTGGAGTGTTAGGGAAGGTCGTCAGGAGGATACGATTGCCAGCTGACCTGTGAGCTCCACCTAGGCAATCACAGGCTCCTGACCTCCCCTGTCGTTGGAATGTAGCTTCTGCTCGCCTTCCCCACTCCAAAGAACTGTCCCCAGGACACAGCTGTGAGGTAGTAGTGTGGTGTTGAGACCATTAGATGGTTTATGTGACTAAACCCAGTTAAGGCCTCTGCATAAACTCTTGAGATTTGGTGGGCAGGCACAGAGGTCTACTCGTCCTGTGGCTGCCTAAGATAAGCCTCATGTAAATTCCCTTGCTTATTAAACTTGCCACCTACCAGTCTGGAGTGATCTGCCTCTTTCTTCAGGCTCTCCTTGCCCTGCATGCATGTACAGGGACCAGTTTGCAAAGCAACAGTTCTCTTTTGCAATAATACTGGAATACAGATTGTATAATAAGGTTAATTGAGCAAACTGGATAGATGGCTAATTGCTAGGAGCTACACTCTGTAATCCTGTAATCCCCATTATTTAGGAATTTATCCTAAGTAATCCAGAAAGAAAAAAATAAATTAATTATTTATCATACTATTAATAATAAGCAAAACAGTGGAGAATCTAAACAGAAATAGAATGGTTAAGAAGATTCCTCAGTGGTATATCACAGAGTATTAAATGATAATAATGCAGATTGTGAGCCAACATGAAGGTATTTTAATTGGCTTTTTTTTTAGAGAGAGAGAGAATGTGTGCAAGTGAGTTAGCATGTGGGGGGAGGGGCAGAGGGAGAAGGAGAGAGAGAATCTTAAGCAGGCTCCGCACTTAGCTTGGAGCCCCATACAGGGCTTGATTTTACAATGCTGAGATCCTGACTTGAGCCAAAATCAAGAGTTGGATGCTTAAATGACTGAGTCACCCAGGTGCCCCTTAATTGACATTTGAAAAATAGGTCCCAAGCTGTATACCGTGTCAGAGGCCAGGGATACAAACAAGAGTAATGTCTTACTTCACTGGAGCCTACACTCCAGGAGCTCTTACCAGAAGCAACCCATTGTAGTGGTCAGGTGTAGGGAAGACATAGGAGGGAGGAAATAAATTTTCTGATCCTAAAAGAGTCAGGAGATTATGACTGAATTCCTCTAAGTGAGAATCTGGCTCAGGTAAAGGATCAACAGCACCACTGGGCCTTGGTTGGACTGGGGTAGCTGGTTTCCCACCATCCCTGCAGGGGGGCCACCCCAACCGCTTGGGTTCTGGGACTGGCCCATGGAGACTGCCCCTCTGCAGGGGGAACAGGGCGGGGTCAGAAAGGGGGCTGGCCCCCTCACCCATCACACACGTTGGTGGGGAACCTGGTGCTAAACCATTCTTAGACAAGCTGCTTCTGAGTCTGGGTTTGTATCCAGCAGAGCACCTCCCCTGCTGGCATCTATAAAGAGTTAGCACTTGACACAAGGGTTTGTAAAAAGAAGAATAACAACTGCAAAAATAAATAAATAAAAGAGTCAGGGAAAGCTAAAGGAAAGAGGAAATGGTTGAGGTAGGCTGTAAGATTTATCAGATGAATAATTGGGTAACATAGTTAATACATACAAAATGTTTATTATATGCCCATACTTAGCTAAGTACTTTTCATTATCCCATTAGTTCCTCTCAACACTGTGATGGGTGCATGCACCATTGTAAAAATGAGTAAATAGAGCTTAAGGTGGCTAGGTAACATGCTGAAGGTTGGTGGCAGAATCAGCACATGAACCCATGTTGCCTGTCTTCTAAAATCCATATTCAAAATCACTGTACTTCACAGTGGCCTCCAATTGTGAGAAAAGTCTATCTATGGAGGTATTAATATTTTAAGACCGAAGAGAAAATAGTTTTATTGGAGAAAGAGGATTTTCTCTTGATTTTTTAACATTCGAGAATCCTTGCCAACAGCTAAAACATCTGTTGCTTATTATTTTGAGAGACCTATCTCTGAAGGAGCTAGGAGCAGATACGCATAGATCCTCTCATCTGTCAGATATTTCCCTATCCTCAGCTAGGCAGTAAGATATGACAACAAGGTAGACGGTATAGGAAGCAGAAGGAAAAATGGGCTATGACTTGGAAAGTGGGTCACTTAGAGTGGCAACCTTTGATTCTCTTAGGTCAACAATGTAGACTTCTTTGTATCTCTATTGTGGGAATTCCTACTCCATGTTTTATTATTTTGTGAAAATTTGAGGATTGTGCAATTTCAACCACTTTTATGGGGCTTTATCTTTGTCAGGATAAAATTATACTGAGTGCCTTGTTCTAAAATTAAAAGTAGTACAAGTGCCCTCAGTCTCTGTTATGTTGCAGGCATTTGGTAATGCTGGTATAGTACTCATGGTATGTCTGGGGTAATGAAACCTTGCCTGCCAACTCTCATCTGAGTCTTTTTATTTTTATTTTTATTATTTGGTGGGGGAAAGGAGGGAGGGAGGGAGGAGGGGCAGAGGAAGAGGGAGAGAATCTTGAGCAGCTCCATGCTCTGTGCGGAGCCCGACATGGGCCTCGATCTCACGAGATCATGATCCGAGCCAAAACCAAGAGTCGGACACCTAACCAACTGAGCCACCCAGGCACCCCATCACCTGAGTCTTTTTTTTTTTTTAAAGATTTTATTTATTTATTTGAGAGAGAGAGAATGAGAGAGAGCACATGAGAGTGAGGAGGGTCAGAGGGAGAAGCAGGCTCCCTGCCGAGCAGGGAGCCCGATGTGGGACTCGATCCCAGGACTCCAGGATCATGACCTGGGCCGAAGGCAGTCGCTTAACCGACTGAGCCACCCAGGCGCCCCAACACCTGAGTCTTTTTAAAGAACATCTGAATTTGGCATTCTCCAACACAGGAAGTCACTTATGACCCAGGAGATGATGGAACATGACATCATTATATATAGCCAAAGGAACAGAACTCATGCAATAGGAGGATTTTGTTGTTAAGTCCATTCGCTTTTCTGTTCATAGGTTTTGTTGAAAGCTGTGAGTTGGCATTTTAGAGATGAACAAAAATTAGTGTACTATACACGTAGCAATTGGCATATTCTTATTCCCATCTGGAACAGTCTTGCACGTAGGTGCTCAGTAAGCCATTTCTTGAAAGAATGCATAAAAGAAGATGTGAAGATTTTTGTTTCTTCTTAATGCTACTAGGCCATTCTTGTGTGAGAATATTAAGAGATGGCATGCCAAGTTTTCCTTTTCTGATGCTGCAATGTCAAAAGATTTTATAAAACTCTCTTAACTCTTGAACTTGGTTCTCCTAGGCAAAAGAACTAGGATAGCTAAACCAGTTATGAAAAGGAAGAATAAAGTTAGAGATATCACACGACCCTATTTTAAGACTTAATGTATAGCTACAGTAATCAAGTTAGTGGTATCAGTGGAGGGATAGACAAATAGGTCAATGGCATAGAGCCCAGAAATCAAACCACACAAGTATGGCCAACTGATTTTTACATAGGTACAAAAGCAATTTAAGGAAGAGATGATAGTCTTCTACATATGATGCTGGAATAATTGGACATTTATAGGCAAAAAAAAAAAATTCTTCATCTAAGTCTTACACTTTATACAAAAATTAACTCAAGGTGAAAGATGGATTTAAATGTAAAAACTGTAAAATTTTTAGAAGAAAGCATAGGAGAAAAATATTCATGACCTAGGGTTAAATGAAGAGTTTGTAGACATGACAATCCGTAAAACAAAATAATCAACAAATGAAGCTTGATCAAAATTTAAAACTTGTGCTCTGTAAATGGCCCTATTAAGAGAGAAAATACATTTGAATCATATGACAAAAGACTTGAGTCCATAGTAGATAAAAAATTCTCTAAACTCAACACTAAGAAAACAATCCACTTAGACAATGGGCAAAAAATGAACAGATACTTCACCAAAAAAGAAATATAGGTGGCAGATAAGCACAGGAAAAGATGTTCCACATCATTAACCATTAGGGTAGTACAAATCAAAATGACAAGACCTAACCATGTGATGTCATTCTTTGCTTTAAGGTTTGCCTTAAGGCCCAGTATATAGTCCATTTTGGCAGATATCCAATGTGTATTTGAAGTGGTATTATTTTGATTTTTGTCTTCTTCTGAAGCTTTGGATATCTAAATAAGGCTGGTCCTTACAACATTCTGTACCTACTCTGTCCATAGTCCCAGTTTCTACTTCCTTATAGTAGGTATGTTTGTATTTTTAGTGTATCTTTCTCCTTTCTTAGCCCATTGGTTTTCTTCTCCTTGTGGTTATAGGCAGCTTATAGGTTCAAAAACCAAACAAAAACAAAAAGCCTACCTCTGTTGTGTACTTGACTCTCAGCAGCCTTTAGTTCATTGTTAGGTACCACAGTCCCTAACCAGGAAATAAGTGTTCACCTTATACCTAAGGACTTTATGTAAGAGTTAATTCTTGGTATTGACTCGTTTGTCATGTTGTGTTCTTATTCTCTTGAAACTGCTCTACCTTGCCTTTGTCAAAAGAACAAAGATGTGTTTCCCAGTTGCCAAGGCTGTGTACTTTCCTGATATTAAGCAGTACCTTATCTTATCTGAAGATGCGTAACTGTGTTGTGAACTAAAGCTATTGTATTTGAGGAGAGAGCTGCCTAGACATCCAGGTACCTCCATATACGAATTCATTTCTGCTAATATTTGAGTGGCCACTGTTCTCTCGGAAATGAGGTGGTGCATAAAAACCGAGACTCTGCCTTGTGCAAGACACAGTGTGGTAGGTGCTGCACCACTTAACTTTTTCTTGATTTGGGGATCTATTCTTTCTTGCTCTTTCACAGTCATGGCTGGAAACCTTTGTGATAACGTGAGAAAAGGATGACGTACTCATTATCCTTGTCTGAGGAAAACAATGCCTCTGTTTCCACAACAGGAGGGGGTAAACTTTGAGTTACTTGTAGGGTAAACAAGGGGAGAGGTGTTCAGATTCTTGGCTCATCTTCTTCTGCCTCAGTGAGACTTTGAGTGATATGCCTTTTTGTTAATGTGATTAATTGGAATTTATAAGCTTAGTGGTAAATATGGTTAACTCTGTACTTCAACTCATGAGACCTTGTGCTTCATGCTGCATACATCTGGGTATTGGAGCTCTTTAGCTGTGCACAGGGTGAGAACCCCTGTTGTGCTGTCCCTGTTGCTGATAAAGGAGAGAGAGGGGAGACTTGTGTACATACTGGCTTTTCTGTGTGACAGAGCTGTTTAATTGGGGATGATTGTGAAGTTTTTGTCATAGCAAACGGACAGGAGAATTTGCAGTTAGTAGTACAATGATTGATTCTCAGTCCACATTGGGAAATGAAAGAGAGAACATTTTGGTGATAGAAACGTAAGTTTTCGAATGTACAACACAAAGAGTGAACTGTGTATTTTATGTAATGTAAACTGTGGATTTTAGTCAATAGTAACATATCAATATTGGTTCATCAGTTGTAACAAATGTCCCACCCTAATGCAAGATGTCGCTAATGGGGGAAACAGATGGGGAAGAGACAGGGAGATGAGGAGGTATATGGGAACTCTCTGTGCTTTTTGTTCAGTTTTTCTGAACCTAAAAGTGCTCAAGAGTTGAGAAGTTTTAAGTAACTGGTTGAATGTTCCTTAAGCAAGTTCTTAGCATACAAGTTCATGTTTAACCCTGACCCTTGGGATTTCTCAGGTAAGACCAATCTGGTTTGCAGTTTGAGCTGTTACGTCAGGTAGATTTGCCCCTCTGCTTTTCTGATGTTCATTAACTGTGCTTTTGCCTCTTCTTTGTCTCTGTTGAAACAGTTGGAATGCCAAGATGCCTTGGAAACAGCAGCCCGAGCTGAGGGCCTTTCCCTGGATGCCTCCATGCATTCTCAGATCAGAATCCTGGATGAGGAACATCCCAAGGGAAAGTACCATCATAGCTTAAGTGCTCTGAAGCCCATCCGGACCACTTCCAAGTAAGAGGCTCTACCAGCTAATGACTTGTCTGTGAAGCACCAAAAGCGTTTTTGAAAATTCGGGCTAAGATTAGACCATTTGGGAAGACCCGTTGTTAGTCAGGAGCTCTGTTTACGAAACAGTGTCTCATAAATGCTGGCTAGCCTCTCTGTATGCATTGACAATTTTGTGTTTTGGGTTTTCTCTCCTTAGACACCAGCACCCAGTGGACAATGCTGGGCTCTTCTCCTGCATGACTTTTTCTTGGCTTTCTCCTCTGGCCCGCATGGCCCACAGGAAGGGGGAGCTCTCAATGGAGGACGTGTGGTCTTTGTCCAAGTACGAGTCTTCCGATGTGAACTGCAGAAGGTAGGCTTCTCTGGTCCGCCCTTGTCTCCCGTATAGTGGGTGCATAGGGCCTGAGCTAGGAGGGGGGGTCCGGCAGTGTGATGCCCTCGGCTCTGTGTTCTTTTAGGATCTGAGCCGTCCTGTGGAGGGAGGGTAGCCTGGGGATGACTTTCTCTTTGCTCTTCTGCTTTATCTCCTATTTCACCTTTAATCCTGTTTTAACCACGGGCTTTCTCTCTCTCTCTCAGCCCCGCTTCTCTTCCTGAGTCTACAGGGAAATTATGTTGCTGCCTTGTGACAGAATACATTTTTGTGGTAGCTGATTATCATGACTAAAATCTAGTTTGCAACTTTACATTTGACCACAGGATCCTTCAGAAAGGGTTGGGGGCCCTTGAGAAAGGAAGTTCTTAGCCAGAAACGAATTCTATTCAGGGATAATTTTTCTGGGTGGGAAGGAAGGACTTCGGTTCTCATCATTTTCCATATCCCGAGAGGCTCCCTCCCTATACAGGGTAAATATGTAGTTGCCCAGAAAGGGTGTGTTTTTCCCTGAAGGTGAGGTCCATGTACATAGTTTAAAGAAGAGGCTCGTGTGAGTGGTGTCAAAGCCTGGAGACAGAAAGCAATGGCAGGAGGGAATCTAGGGTCTCTGTTCACCTGGGCAGACGTGTAACGGAGGACATGTGCCCTTGTTAAGACTAGAGAGACTGTGGCAAGAAGAGCTGAACGAAGTTGGGCCAGACGCTGCTTCCCTCCGAAGGGTTGTGTGGATCTTCTGCCGCACCAGGCTCATCCTCTCCATCGTGTGCCTGATGATCACGCAGCTGGCTGGCTTCAGTGGACCAGTAAGTTCTAACCATCCTTTCTGACAGTCTCCAGGGGCCCGGCCACGGCCAGCTCTAACACTCTTGTTCTGTTGCAGGGGTTGTGCTCACCGGTGGGCTAGTTAGCAGCCTTAGTGATGCCTCTAGGTCTGTTGAAAGGGAACGGTTGATTTTGGAGTGAATGGTGGCTGGTCCACAGCCGGAAGGATGAGGGGCCGTGTTGCCAGAGAAGAGCCGGAAGCGGCTCGCTTTCCTGGGGCGGGTGAAGACACGAACGATTCCGGCTCTGCGCAGGATGATGCTGCTTTGTTGCGTGTTGCCATGAAATGACAGTCTTGGTTTGGGGCGAGGTGTCTGGCGGTGCTGAGAGTGGGCGAGAGCAGTGTGGTGTGGCGTAGGCGGCTGGGCTCGTGCTGGTGACGCACCGCACGCCTGGGGGCAGAGCTGTCACGTGCTTGGCGGTTCCACGGCCAGTGAGCCTGAAGAAACCCGAGGAGCCTTGAGGCTTTTTTTTAGAGTCCAACCTGGAGTCTATTTTAAGTGTTGGTTTAGAGTGTAAATCGCGTGGCAGGTGTCGGGGTGGCAGCCGTGGTTTTTCCTAGTGCGTGCTGAAGCAGAGTAGGTGAGAGAGTGACGTTCACACTGTTTCCTGGACACCTGTTTCTTACACCTGCTGTGCTGCCTGACACTTGAGACTTTGATTAAATCTATTCTCTGCATATTTGCCTTGAGGCATCGGAGCAGTAGTTCTCCTTATACTGTGCGTTTTCCGTGTGTGGGTAAGCTGGAGGTTCATGGTTCTGGTAAGTATGTGCCTAAGATGCATGGTGATTAGGTAAAACTAATTTGCAGTTTTTCTGTTTTATTTTTGTTGTTGTTGTCGTTTGTTTGTTTGTTTGTTTGTTTTTAAATGTTTGATGCCTTTTTAAAAGTTCTGATCTCTTTTCTGAAGCAGAGAACACTACTTTTCTGGTATTAGGTTTCTATATTAATTGAGCAACTAACACACTTTTGTATAAGTTTTAAGTAAGAGAGACCATGTAAGTGAATATTATGTTACTGACCAAAATGGCAAACATTTTCATAGGACCAGCTTCCCCCAAGAAGAGCTTCTGTCATTGTTTCACTACAGGGCTGGTGGCTGCTCTGGATCTTCTGTAGAATTCTTTGAGCTGGGTAGCACAGTATATAGGCTTTCTTGATTCCATTTGGCCAGTGCAAGAAGTTGATTGGCTCCCCCCATCCAAAAAAAAGAAAAAGAAAAACCAACAAAAAACAAAACAAACAAAAAAAAAGGTGGGGGGGGAAGAAATACCATAGATTGTTGAGATTTTAATTTTTTATTTGGGAAAAAAAGCTACCTATGCATGTTCAGTTTGGGGGCCTACAGTCACTCCCTTGAGCATCTGCATATTCTTTTATCTCTCTCTTAAGGTACGGCATACTGGAATGCTAACTCTAGTAAAGTCTTCTAGGTACCAGGGAACACCGAGAACCTTCCTTTAACAGGAAAACAGCATGCACACTTTTCCTTCTCTCTACCCTCTTGCATAAGAGCAACTTAAGGCCTGTGTTATTTCATAAGATCCCATCCTAGAACAATTGAGAAAGCAATGGTCCCATCCATAGTCTCTCTAAATGATAAAAAGATTTAAAACTACAAGCAAAGCAAACTTCTTTTTTTGGAGTACCAATTCAAATAAATTTCTTTTTAAATTGGAAATTGAAGAATCAGCCTGGTTTTGAGATTAGTGCTAGCAATGAGCATACCTTCTGTTCTGTGGATTTAAATCCTTTCAAGGAACACCCATTTTAGATTTTTGCACATTTTCTAATATGGCACAACTTTCAAACTGGCTTAGTCTGTTCTTACAGAAATCTGTGTAAGAACCGACTCCCCAGATAGGGGGATATTTCTTTTCTCCCCTCAGGCATCGCTGAACCTTGGTAGCCATATGCAGAATATACGAATAAACGACCAAGTTCGTGTGTATGTATGTTTTTTTAACTGGCCGGACGATCCAAGGTTTCAGTGATGCCAGTGGACCAACGCTCTGTGCAGAGTGTCCAGAGGTCACAATAGTGTTAATGGAGTACCAGAAAGCTTAAGGGTATGGTCCTGACCTAAGATGAGTGGCCAGACTTGCTAAAGTTAGAGATGATATGTGGCCTTCTTGGATATGAACAGTTTAAAAAGACCAGGCCTGACCTATGATTTTTGTGTAAAGAATTAGCGTCCACCCTGTAGATCTGCAAGAGAAGGCTACCTCCTGCAGTGCTGTATCTTGGTGAATGCTAACTCTGCTCAAGGGCCTTTTGGGGGAAAGGGCAGTGAATAGCCTCTAGAGAGGTAAGTTTCCCACCCTCCCAACCTCTCCCCAGCTGCAGCTTGCTTGATGCTGTCAGGATCTGGATTTGGGGGGAGTCTCTCTGTAGTGGAACCAGTGACAGAAGCTGTTCTTTAGAATTTTCAGGATGGCTGTATTCTGCGGTCAGAATGAGAGAGTCAAGCTGGGCAGAATCTCTCGCCAAGAGTTCAGGTAAGGTAATGTTTATTCACTGGGAATGCTTTCCACAGCCAGACAGCTATGCTGACAATCTCTCGAGTTTTTCTCCCAGTTTGTTTACGTTTAAATGATAAGTTTGTAACTTTTTTAAAACTAAATTTTGGTTGGATTTTTTTCATGAAAACCTTTTTTTCTTTATCCCATACATACAAAATGGTTTGAAATGTAATTGTTTTTTTAAAGAACCCTATGTGTTGGAAATTCTTTAATCTGCTGTTTCCTCTTTTCCCCCCCCTCCGAAAATTTTACATAATGTAAGCTTCATTATGTCTTTTACCTTCCCCCGGCTCCCCACCTCCGGGAGGTACTAATGCTCTTACCCAGTGCTGAAAAATGGCACTGTAAAGGTATGGGAAGGAAGGAACCCCAAACTACAACCTGCTGTCCTTTCACGCCTTCCTCTGGAGACTGTTCCATCAGTGCTGAGGTGTGTGAGAAAAATGCTTTACGGCACCGCCATCTTACTGAGTTGCTTCACGTGAGGAAAAATGGGGTTTTGACCCTGCCACTCAGTGACTCAGTTCCACATTTTGGATTGCATACTGGAAAAGAAGCCAATCTTCTTGCTAGTAAACCAACAACCCAGCTGTATGCAGTGGTGACCCAAACAATGGATATAAACCTAAAAATCCGAGGGAGGGGAGACGTGGAATACAATAGTTCTCGGGATCTGAAATCTCCTATTTATTTGATCAGGTTATTTACTGACGCTTGACAGAAATCTGATTGGTGGGGATCTCTTAGGATCTGGCGGACATCTGGTATTAATTTCCTTCCAGGAAAAATGAGAAATGCCAGTTAACCCAGAGAGCATCTGGGTTCTGGAATTCAGCATTAGCCGCCTCAGGACAATTGTGTCTGGCTTCCATTTTTGTCTGTCGTTCAGAGCTCGCTTCCACCTACAAGTACCCTGTGCTATAAGGATCCGGGGTAGTTGGGTGGATGGGGTTTCTTGTTCTTTTTTTTTTTTTTTTCCCCTTCCTTCAGGGTAGGGGATTGGTTTGGCTTTCTTTTGTTGTGGTTTGTTTTCTCTCATTTTCGGCAAGATCAATTTTAGCTGCAAGGACTTGAAAAAAAGACTCTGAAGGATGCCGCCCCATTTTTCCTTGAGGCCTAGATTTTTGTATTCTGTCCTGAACAGAAGTCATCCGTCACAGCCTGCTGAACCAGTAGCGCCCAGGGATTTTTTTTTTTTTTTTTTTAAGCAGAGTTCCCTCTTTGGGGGGAGTTTTTAGTTTAGTTTTGTTTTTTTTTTTAATTCTCTTTCCTTAGCAGCAAGGTCTTATTCTCGGAGAATCTACCCCATTGCAGACTCACTGCAACTTCAGGAGCCTTAATCGATTAAGTGCCGTCAGCTCGATGTACTACTCCGGACTCTGGCAACAGCTATGGGTTCTATTCTGTATTTCCACTGTGTGTAGCGAAAACAACAGTCGGAGGCCAGATGACGTGTTAGATGGCCAGCCTTGTAAAAACTCGACTCTGTATGTTCCCATGTATGTTACCGCAATGCTCCTTCTGTTGTACAGTCTGTGAGATACTCTTTGAAGATGGTACTTTTATTTTATATTTTGTTTCATTTTCAATAAAAGTACATTACCTCCCACTTGCTGGTATTGAATCCTGTCGCTGAATGTGCCTTGTGTGAGTGTGTGCTCCGGCGTTGCAGGACCTCAGAGCTGGAGGTGGCACTCGGTGGTTCTTGGGGGCTGGCTGCCTTCCCTCCCCGCGGGTGGTGGTAGACATATGCTACCTGAGGTAACACGTTTTTGTTTTTGAGAGGGAGTGGGGAGTGGGGAGGGCCCACGGGAGGGTTTCTGGATTTTGGAATAGTCTGCTTTGTTTGCTCTCTTCTGTACTATTAAACTGCCGATGTTTATTTTCAGGAATGTTTTGCAAATGCACTTCTCACTCTTCCCCAGTCCAACTGTAGGTACACTGTTCCTTTTTATCAAATAAGCACGTTTGAAACGATCCAAAAAAAAAAAAAAAAGGGTCTTAATTTCATTTAAAGACATGTATCAATGTGTGGAGAGACTGGAGTAAGGTCAAATATATACTTTTTAATGACCGTGTGTTTAGAATTAATTTCAGCTTATGGACAGGTTTATGTTACATTAGAAAGAGGAACGGTTTTGGTGGTGTCCTTAAGGAAGAAAACAATCCAGATGAGGCCGACCTCCCGCGAAACGCCTTGAGTAAATATCCGCGGGCGAGTCGTCAGTCATATTTGGTCCTTCAAGGTCTTCCTCTGCTTCTGTATGTAGCGCTGTCACAGTGGAGCTGCTTCCTCTTTCTAACTTAACATAAAACTGCGGCATGGTGTGTGGGTGCCGTGGAGATGTTGACAGTGGTGTGTGTTTCTCCCTGTAGGCCTTCGTGGTGAAACACCTCTTGGAATACACCCAGGTCACAGATTCTAACCTCAAGTACAGCTTGCTGTTAGTCCTGGGCCTCCTCCTGACGGAAGTCGTGCGCTCGTGGTCACTCGCGCTGACTTGGGCATTGAATTATCGAACTGGTGTCCGCCTGCGGGGGGCCATCCTAACCATGGCATTTAAGAAGATCCTTAAGCTAAAGAACATTAAAGAGAAGTCTGTGGGTGAGGTGAGTGAGGGGTGTTTGCTTCAGGGCAGAGAGAAAGCTCCCGGCTTGAGCTCTTTCTTTCATTTGGATCTCTGCTTTGCCCTTCATCTTCCTCCTGAGACAAGTGACTGGGGTCCTTGCGGGGTCCTCTCATTGCTCTTTGTGTCTCGTAGCTCATCAACCTGTGCTCCAATGACGGGCAGAGGATGTTCGAAGCAGCCGCTGTGGGCAGCTTGTTGGCTGGAGGACCCATTGTTGCCATCTTAGGCATGATTTATAACGTAATTATTCTAGGACCAACAGGCTTCCTAGGATCAGCTGTTTTTATCCTCTTTTATCCAGCAATGGTGAGTAAGCCTCCTTGCTGTATCGTAGCAGCTTCTCCTTAAATGAGCTTCTCCTTAAACTTCTCCACTAGGTTTTATATAGTAGGCGTCGCTGAGATGTCACATCTCTGATTGGAAATTTCCTCAGAGCAGGTACCTGGTTTGGAAAAGTCTGGAAAGAGCTAGGCAGTGTTCAGTCCCTAGGCAGAATTTTGTCTTGAGAGGAAGTAAGATGTCCTGTGAATAAAGGCCATGACTCTTAAGGAGATTTTAAAAAGAGAGTCTGAGTGAAGGAGGAGGCCAGCAGCTGAACTCTGCCCTTAAGAACACGGTAGTGTCTGAGTCCCTTCGTCTCAATTTGCTGCTAACTGATAGGACTCTTCTGCTTCCCTTTGGTAGCACTCAATAACCATAATGAGAACAAATACTTTACTTGTCTTAACTTCCTTACAAAAGGATAAGAATTAAATAATATTTTATTATAATTTAAAAGACCACTTTTATTAAAAGGCAGTGCAACTACATGATGCTCATTTTATTTATAATAATCTTAAACAGATTTATTTCCCAGAAAGACTAGACAGTTCTTAAATTTGAATAAGCCCTGACTTGGCATGACATCGCTTTTCCTTTCAGATGTTTGTATCACGGATCACTGCGTATTTCAGGAGAAAATGTGTGACCACCACAGATGAACGTGTCCAGAAGATGAATGAAGTCCTCACTTACATTAAATTTATTAAAATGTATGCCTGGGTCAAAGCATTTTCTCAAATTGTTCAAAGTGAGTTTACAGATTTCATATGTGCATGTGGTATAAGGTCCTTGCTTCCTGAGCACATTAGCTGCTAGGAACCCTAATGTCATAGGATCATAATATCTTCTTATAATATCTTATGATCTTTATATTGAAAGGGATTTTAGAGACTTGAACTCATAATCTTATCTCGCATAGGAGGAAATTAAGACCAGAAAATTGTGATTTTTTTTTCCCCCAAGATAACTAAGCTAGTTATAAGCAGTTCATTCAGTTGCAAACCCCCCTATCTATACTGTCATCCTACCTGTAATTTTGTGGCCTGGCTATGAAGACATCACAGAAAACATTATCAAGTTGTCTTCTGAGAGCTCCCCCCTTCCCTACCTGCCAAAGGTGCGTGTGCATCGCAGGTGTGAGATGTGTGAGGTGTAAGATCCTGGGGGAGGGGGAGAAGGGCCGTGCTGGGGGTCAGGACAGCTGGACTCTGGGCCTGCCTCAGCTACTCGGTCATCGGGTTTTTGGTTGTTTTATTCTTATCTTTTCAAACAATTGACTTATGTTGAGTCACAAGGCCCCATCCTGGTCCTATCCTGCTTCTCCTGATCAGTAAATTCAATGCACACATAAACATGTCTAATATGTGAATGCCACAACGCTTAGAGGAATAATTGGCATTAGACTGGACATTCAAAAAGGTCTCAACAGAAGTTGGAAAAATGGGCCTTAAAAAAGGTGGCATTTCAGAAGGGTACATTTAAAGGCACTTTAGAGTTGAAAAAAGAAGGCATGTTTCCATTTAAACTTACTTCATAAAAGATGTGGGCTGTTCATTGACCATCACCTCACAGTGAGCTAACTTGAATACATTGCAGTTACAAAAGTTAATGCAGTTTTAGGTTGAATAGAAATCCAGTGTTCAGATCAAGGAAGCTGTTTTATTTTAACTGTTTGATTTATCAATTAAACCTTCAGGAACATTGTGTCCAGTTCATAAACTTTATTTATCAGTGGTCATCAGGAGGAGGTGGCCGCTCAGAGGTGTCCAGCAGTGGGTTAGGCAACTTTCATTGCCAGTGGAATGGAACCGATGGATGCTAATTGGATATCTGCCAAGCATGTTGCAAGCAGGGTGACTGCTGATGGTCCTTTCTGCCTCTCTCATTCTGTGGTTTTATAATTTTCTTTCTGAGAGGCCACTCATCCTTCAGCCCCTGACTTTGGTATCTTTACCTCTGTATATTGGTTTGAAGAGTGTTCTTTCTCATTATGGACTTAGGCAAGGTATATGTTAAATGTGAAAGCAATGGGTTAGATTTTTTAAAATATGACATATGAGCTAGCTCTGAAGATAGTTCCCAATGTCTTGAGCAGTGGTAATACTCTAAGGTCAGTACAAAGCTTCTCAGAAGAATTGCTTTTATGTTTAAAAACTTTTAAAAACACACACACATACACATACACAAAACTTGCCACTTTATTGTCATACCTCCTACTCCATGGTCTTTAGTACTCTAGGGTTGCTCTGTTAATAAGGGTCTCTGTTTTGCAAATATTTAAGAAAAATCATTCTGCCTACAAAAATTGTATTTCACTCACCTTCTGTCAATCATCTCACTGCTTTTTGTGTGAAAGCCTCTACCCAGCACTGACATACGGTAGGCACTGTAATAAATCTGCGTTCTTTTTAAATTCTCCATTACCATGGTGTAGTCTTCCCTGTTGTTTGCTGGAAATAAACAACAACCAGGTAGGCAAACAAAACTGCCATTTGCAGATACAATTACTGTGTTCATCCCTTCTAGATGTAAGATGTTTGCAAGAAAAACCAGACTGAAGGCAGAAGATGTTCATTGCACTGATATGTAGGGACTGCTTTCTGTTAGATTCATTCTGTGACTTGATTCCATTTCAAACCTCAGGCTTATGTACCAGCATTAATAGTGATAACTCTTAGTCATGTTGACCTAGGTTTTGCATCATGGGTGTTAAGGAGTTGTTTTAAAACCTATGTGGCTGAAGACTTACCAAGTCTTCTTTGGTGACAGAGGACCAATATCCCACGGTTTCTTTTGACTTGCTTTAAAATTGGCTTGCTTTTCATCAGTTGGCTTGCTTTTTATTCTTAGAAATCCGAGAGGAGGAACGTCGGATCTTGGAAAAAGCTGGGTACTTTCAGAGCATCACTGTTGGAGTGGCTCCCATTGTGATGGTGATTGCCAGTGTGGTGACCTTCTCTGTTCACATGACCCTTGGCTTTGATCTCACCGCAGCACAGGTCAGTGAACCCTCAGGGCTTGGGGAGATTTTAGAAATACCACATATAGAGATGTTCTGGTGCTCTTGTTTCTGGATTTTGAGGTGCCCCCAGTAATCAGAAGGTATTTTTTCTTTCATGTGATTAAGCCAGGAAGAGTGGCGATTAAGCCCTAAGCACGAATAACATGTGGATTGTTTTAAATCAACCCAATTTTGGATTTAATTCTGAAAATACAGATCATCCTTTGGTTCAGATTTACTGAGAATTTTAATTGCAGGTCTCATAAAAACTCTACCTTTAAAAAAAAGCATACATGGGGCACCTGGGTGGCTCAGTCGGTTAAGCATCCGACTCTTGATTTTGGCTCAGGTCATGATCTCAGGGTCGTGAGATCAAGCCCTATGTTGGGCTCCACGCCCAGGGGGACGTCTGCTTGGGATTCTGTCTCCCTCCTTTTCAGCCCCTCCCCCCCCACTCACATGCACATGCTCGCTCTCTCCAATAAATAAATGAATCTTAAAAAAAAAAAGCATACGTGACTCATACCAATTTGACAGTCAGGTTGCTGCCTTCCTTAAATCGATGTCTCGTTATTTTTGTTGTAGATTCTCATCAAGCTCAGTTTCTTTTCTTTTCCTATTTCCAGGCTTTCACAGTGGTGACTGTCTTCAATTCCATGACTTTTGCTTTGAAAGTAACACCATTCTCCGTAAAATCCCTCTCGGAAGCATCGGTTGCCGTTGACAGATTTAAGGTGAGAGGCTCCCTTCCCTTCCTCTATGTCAGGAGCCGTCCTGGCAAAGCCACAGCTGCCTTTATTCCAATGGGCCACACAAGGCTGGCCATACTTGGCTTTTGTTCACCTCTAGCTCTTTGTCCAGCTGGTAAGAAAGGGGGCAGTAGAGGAGAGTGAATTAAGGGATGGGAATAGTTACCTTTTCAAGTGAATGTGAAATTTTACTTTTTGTTGACAGCCCATCTAGTTTTGGGCTCCCAGGATTTTGTTCTCCTTCAGAGCGAGGCCCTTCTTCCTTGGCCTGACTTGGGTGTATGTCCTAAAAAACTCCTGGGCCTCTTTCGGCGATTCAAACCGGAAGATCCGAACTGTTAGGTGACTGTCAGCTTTTCCTCACCTCCATCTACCGTTGCGTCGACCTCTACCAAAATGCTATTGTCATTTTAATTGGTCGATATGCTACGCCCTTTTCCATACTTTCTTTTTCCTGCCCTGTAGTCACCACTCCTGATGCAGGGAATGCAGTGACATGGGAATAGTCGTACAATGAGATCATGTTGCAAAGTGCAGCTAAGGAAATAATCAGGTTTTTTTGGAGGTGGTTAGTTGATCATGCTTTAACTGTGTTCTTTATGCCTTCAGAGTAATACAAATAGATGATACAAGAGGTCGATAGATTCGGGAGGGTGAGGGGAAGGAGCAGCACCTGTGTGGGCTGGAATTCCTTGACAGTGCCCCTGCAGGCAGTAGCTCCTATATTCCTGCCAAGCCTTCGTGTCTAGTGCAGAACAATGAAAAAACGATGCTGGTTGCTTGAAGGTTTGGGGGGAACAAATTGAGACTCATGGAGAATATGAAGAATGGAGAAGAGCTTTCCAAGATTTATTTATATTCTACTTGTTTACAGTTAACAAGGTGAATTTTGTTTGGGCAAGAATGCCAGTCCTCAGGAATGCATCCCCAGCTCTGTGCCCTCCCTCCCTCCAGCCTGGCTGCTAGAAGGCGAAGAGCCAGAGCCATAAAAAAGAAATAGTCTAATTGTAATCAGAGCTTTATTTTGCTGCGTCTGCAATACCTAGTCATGGAAGAAAGCATATGTTTTGACCATAAGATTGTCCTCCTGTCATTGCTAGTTGATAATATAGGTTTGTTCACCCTATGTTTCTCAAGGGCTTTCTTTTCTTCCATTTACCAGTGGGGATTTGCATTTGCAGGTGGCTTTTCACACCACAGCTCCCTCCTCTATCCAGGGAACTTCAGAGTTAATAATAGAAGCAAAATCACCCACAGCTGTATTATATGCCCCTTGAGATTTCAGTTCCATTCTGTCTTATTCTTCTTGGCAGGCTCCTCCTGCCCCTCCTGTCCCTCCTCCTTCCCCCCACCCTCCCCTTCCCCTACCTTCTCCACCTGCTAGGAGGATGATAACAGGTAGAAAGGGGTAAGAAGCCACCTTGTGACTTTTCTAAGATTGTTGTCAGTAGAGGGTTGCCAGTTTTAGCAAATAAAGAGACAGGACCCCCAGTTAGTTAATAACCACATGGGATATACCTATACTACCAAATTATTCATTGTTTATCTAGAATCAAAATCTAACTAGATGTTCTGTATTTTATCTGGCAACCTCTGTCCCCTCTTCTGCTCAACAGATGTACTCTGAGTGCATGAGGGTTCTGTTTTGATAGTTGGTGTCCTATGGTAAAGTTGAGGTTTATGGTTTATGTACCTCTAAGATTCTGTTGTCCTGGCAGGTGCCAGTCCAAGTAGATATAAATTCAAGTGTTGTGAGTCCCTCGTGTGCCTCCGCATGTCTCAAGAGGAGGACAGGCTGCAGGGAGCCCATGGGAAGGAAATGGGGAAGGAGCTGTGCAAACTGGAGCACTGGCTTATTTTTTTAATAGTCCATGAGGCCTGAAAGATCCCTTTAATAACTCCTTAGAGGAGAGAAATGATGGGAATTCTGTCAGCGTATGGTTTTACTCTGAACGTGGCCAAAATATTTGGCATGTTACTCTTAGCTCAGTCAATCCAGAAGGCTCTGAACAAATGAAACCAACAGCTGTTTTTGGAAAATTAAACCTAAGGTTGATGAAGAGTAATGGTTATTAGGGTATTTAGAACCACGACACTTCTGGGAAGATTGGAGTTTAGGAACTGATAGGAGATGTGGCAATCAAAGCTTGGAGTTTAGGATCTAGGAGCAAGGACTTGCTCTAGGGGTGGGAGATTATATGTTACATTTACTAACACCGGCAAACTTTAAAACAGTTGGGGGTTCTCAGTAAATAAGCAGAGTCCTGACTCTGAAAGGCACCTTTTATCTTAAGTCTTTCTAATGTTTCAAAAAAAAGTTGTTTTTTTTTTTATCATATTGGGAATCCAGCTGGGATTCTGTGGAGATCTGCAGTTTAAGAGAGTTGTCAGAAGTGGGTTCAAGATCATGGGCACTTATAATAAGGTTTATTATGGTCAGTGTTTCAAATCTCATTTCAGAAATACTTAGCTTTTCAATCATTCCACTTTTCTTCCCTAACATAATTCAGAGGGACTGTGGGAATGAGTGGGAGGAAAGTCTTGTTGTCTTCCCAAGTGTATTTCTGAGAGAGATTCCCTTCACTTCTTCCCAAGTCCATTCCTTTGGTTGTTTGAATCCTCACAAGTTTCAAGGCAGAACTTTGAAGACATGAGAGCTTGGCAAGAAGAGGCACTCTGCCGATGATAAACCCAAGCAAGCTAGGCATGGTCACCATCTCGGCTCGCCTCTCCCCACACACATGTGCCATGTGGTTGCTGAGGGGAGCGCACAGGCTTTGCGGCTCCGCAGGAGTGTTCTGGAAGGGAAACACAGTGATGGGGATCCATCTAGGAGAGCAGCATGCCCTTTGGTTTTTCTGCTTGCATTTTACTGCTTGCTCTTCAGCAAGTCATGGGTGAGAACAAAGGGCTGCATACGGGTTAGTTAAATGCACTTTGGCCATACTAGATTGGCAGAAAGGAAAAGGTAGGTTAGGATGTGATTGGCAGTGTAGAGCGTTGGGCCGTTGAGAAGGCCCCTGTCCCTCCTGAGGGTGTCCCCACACCCCCGTGACCTCTCGCTGGGCCTGAGGCTGGGCTACACTAATGAGCTACCTTTTGCCCTTCAGCTTCCTTCCACTGTATAGCCTGATGTGTTTTGCCGCGTGAGTGTGCGCCCTAGGCTTGTCCCCCTGGTCTTGGTCCAGTGTCTCATCTTTGCACCTCTCTCACAACTCCTATCAGAGTTTGTTTCTGATGGAAGAGGTTCACATGATAAAGAAAAAACCAGCCAGCCCTCACATCAAGATAGAGGTGAAAAATGCCACCTTGGCATGGGACTCCTCCCACTCCAGTATCCAGAACTCACCCAAGCTGACCCCCAAAACGAAAAAAGACAAGAGGGCTGCCAGGGGCAAGAAAGAGAAGGTGAGACCGCTGCAGCGCGCTGAGCAGCAGGCCGTCCTGGCAGAGCAGAAGGGCCACCTCCTCCTGGACAGTGATGAGCGGCCCAGTCCCGAGGAGGACGAGGGCAAGCACATCCACCTGGGGAGCCTCCGCCTGCAGAGGACACTGTACAGCATCGACTTGGAAGTCGAGGAGGTAAGCCCGGTGCCTCCCCACTCCCCACCTGCACCCCGTCTGTCCGCAGGTGTCTGCGGGCATCTCCTCCGGCACGAGCGGGCAGCCGCCTTCCTTACACCAGAGTACCTGGTGGCTGGGATTGGTTGGAACTAACGAGCGAATCCGGCCACTCCAGCTCCACAAAGGAGTCTTCAGGCATCTAACAGTAGACCTTAATACCAGCTGATCTCATGAGATGCTCATTTGACAAGCAAGGAAATGAAGAGTTCAGGTGGATTTTCCAAGACTTTGCCCTGAATAGATTCTAATTGTTACAGTTGTATGTGAGCTGTAATAATTATTTCTGGTTATCATAACTCTGGGCGAGCTTCTCGTTACCAGTAGGCTGTGCAGAGCACAGACCCTGGTCCATATAAGAGCCCTCAGGGCTGCTCTTATTGACAAATCTCTTGTAATTATCTATCTACTTATTTATCTATTTTTATTGCAGCATAAGAGCCAGTGTTCTTTTAGTTTCAGGTGTACAACATACTGATTCTGTGATTGTTGATTTTTCATGTAAACGAAGGATCGTTATGATGTGTGATGTCACAGCCTGGATAGCACAGGACTAGAATCTCTCCGAGGGGCTCCTGGGCAGAGTGGCTGGAAGAGAGTCCAGTTCAGGGCTTTGCAGACACAGTCTGTGACCGTTCAGAGGGGCACAGATGTGTATGTACATCTGTCGTCGGCTGTTTTCTGAGTGCCAGCTTTATGCCAGGCACCGTTCGTTGTGGGGCTGGGCTGTAGCCGCTGGAAACCAAACGGACAAAAACCTCTGTGCTCCTGTAGCGTAGGTTTTAGTGGGCAAAGACAGATAGTAAACGAGTAGAGTATATGGTATGTCAGATGGTGATAAGGGCCCTGAGGACGAGAGGGAGTGGTGGGCCGGAGCAGGTGTGGTTGCAATTTAAATAGGCTGCCTGAGGGAAAGCCTCATTTAAAAAGTGGTATCTGAGCAAAGGCTGGAAGGAGGCGAAGGCGTGAGCCATATGGGTATCTGGAGGAAGAACATTCCAGGCAGAAGGAACAGAAGCGCAGAGGCCCCGAGTGCGCAGTGTATGTATTCCCCAGCAGAGTGAGCACGGGAGAGAAGGGCAGATGCCGGGGGCAGAGAGGCGGCTGGGGTGCCGAGCCTCCTCTGGTGACTTTGCCTTTACTCCGAGTGGGAAGAGAAGCCTTGTGAGGGTTTGGAGAAGAATGATATGATCTGACTTCTGTATGAAGAGAAATATCCTAGCTTCTGGATTCAGAAGAGTATGGAGGCAAACAAGGAAGGAGAGCAGTTAACCCCGGAGAAGTGTATCTTGGACCGAGGAGGGTGATGAGCCATGTTTATCGGCATAACTGGAGCTAGGGGGTAGTGGGTTTTCATGCAGTGTACATCAGTATCAGCAGCTGACTAAGGCATGTTACGTGGATCCAGAGCCAAACTGAAGAGAGAAAAGCTCCCAGCTCTTGAAAGCTGCCACCAAGAGCAGATGGTCCTTCGTGACCACACCTGAAACCACTAGTGTAGTTCATCATTGGCCACCACGCACGTCCGTTTTTGACTTCCGTTAACTCTTCACCACAGGCTTCTTATTTAATAGTGATTTTCTTGATTATTGAGGCAGCTCCATTACATTTCTCATCAGCCCTATTAGAGGATTATTCCTCATTCAGCTGAAATGTACTCTTCTGCTTTCTGTCTTTTGATCCTCATCCAACCCTTTAGAGCCCACATTCACATGACACACCTTTAGCTATTTGGAGAGGGGTACCTTAATTCTTCCAGTGCACCCCTCTCCCCTTCAGGGCGGGGAAGGGAAGTTAATGTTTGCCTGAGATCCTCTGTGCCCGGGGCATTCCACTATTGGTATCTCTGTTAGTCACCATGGAGTCATGAGAACAGAGTTTTCTCTATGTAAACCTAACTGACTTGCGCAGAGATCGAACCTTTGACTTGGTCTCCTCATTACCATCAGGCTGTAATCTTTCAAACTCTGAAACCATGTCAGAAACTTTATCCAACATACTTTGTCTAAGACACTGTACTTGGTTCTACAAAGATCACTCCTTCCCTCAAGTTGCTCAAAGCCCAGTGAGAGACGGACAGTGGAAGTAACCAGACCACGAGCACACAGTTGGCAGGTGCTAGTGGAGCTGAGGTTCCATTCACGACCTGGCTGCCTCCAGAATCCATGCTCTTCTGCACACCAACTCTCCCTTTACTGAGGGATTTGAGCCAATGCAGGGTTGCTAAACAGTGGCCCTTTTGAAATCACCTGCCCGTCCTTGAAAACTCGGAACACCACCTGCTGAGAGCTCATTATTTTGCCTGGAGATATTCAGTTAATCACAGGCTTTCCTCCTCCCCACCCCCACCCCCCCCTTTTAAGTGGGATTGATGATATCAATAGTCTTCAGATTCTTGGAAATGTTTTGTAGAAAATGGAAACAGTGCACATAGTTTTTATTGAAAATAATTTATAGACCCTAGAGGAAAACATCATATAAAATGAAATGAAAACCAACAAAATAATTTCCAAGAGTCCTGCCCTCATTTCCAAAAAGAACAAAAATAAACAAATAATCACAAAACATGGGTTGCCAAAAAAGTAAGAAAGAGGCTGGGCTTTTCTAAAAGTAACGTGGGATACCTTCATGTGTGTGCTTATTTACGTTTTCTAAAAGGCTTACACATCCATTACCTCCCACATACGCCCACAGAAGCCCTCTGAAGTAGGTGGCTGACAGGGAGCAAACAGGGAAGTGAACTTGCAGGGTCACCAGGATGATCGTCTTCCTATTACTGATGGGCTGTCATTGTGTTTTTCCTCGAAGAAGTCAGCAGCCCCTAGAGACGAGTGGTCCATGGCCCTTTAATGACCTTCCTTTCTCTGTGTGCTTTGTCCAGGGTAAACTGGTTGGAATCTGCGGCAGTGTGGGAAGTGGAAAAACCTCTCTCATTTCAGCCATTTTAGGCCAGGTAATATTTTGTTTTGTCTTTGGCCTTTTCTGCCTCTTTCCCTGGAATCTGCCTCACAAGAGTCTTGGGAAGAATGGACTAACTTCCCAAAGAGAGTCAGGAAAGGTAGAAACAAAATGAACCCTTGGTCTGTGTTCTGCCCCCTGCCCCCGCCCCCACATTCCCACCCCTTATCAGCGTTGTATCTGGGAGTGGGCTCAGTGGATACCCGAGGAGTGACTGAGTGATACCTAGCTGGAGCCATCCATTTCTCCTGCCTTCTTTTATTCAGCATGTATTTATTGAGTCCCATATGTATGCCAGACAGTGTGTTGGGAAATGTCAGCGATAAGACGTGAACAAACTGCAGACTGCCGACAGAGTGAAGAAGCCGGGCCAGCCAGCATTACCAGCCTCCCCGTCAGAGAGATCTCTGTCAGGATTTGATCTAGAAGCAAAGCCCTGCTCTGATTACAACCTAACCATTGAAAGAATTACGCCCTTGGGAGCTGATGGCCTAGCTGGGGAGTTACGCCTTCGAGACACACAAACATAGCACAAGGCAGAGAGTGAATGGTTCACAGAGGGCCCAGCAGAGGGCTGTCAGCGTTCACATGGGGGCAGGGTCAAGGATCATCCAGCTAAGGCAAATTGTCTTTTCCTGTGTTTTAAAACCAAATAGGGAAAATCAACAAGGTACTTCCACCTGCTTTTAATCTTGAATCAAACTAGCTTGACTTCGATGGTCGGGATGAGGATAAACTGAAGCTCATTCTTACCTACCTGTGGAGAAAGACCAATGAGTCATTTCTCCATACTGAGGAAATTAAACACATGCAAGAAGGAGTTGGGGAAGGGTGTTTTGTAGTGTCCCGGTTATGGAATATTTTGTCTTATTCAGTGTCACTGTCACAGTTGATAGAGTGGTACTCTCCTCGGGAGCAGTGGGACCCGGCGTGGTCTGAGGAAGGTTGCATCCAAATCATCTGGAGCTACAGCGCCCCCACCCCACTGCTTTGTGGGACTCCTCATTGGTTGGGCTCAGCCCTTGATCTTTGTAAACAGCCAAAACCTCCGAGGGGTTCTGATCATTTCGGGGTCAGATTAAGGGTCAATGATGAGAGACACGAGAGATGAAGGGGGAGGTGGTATTGAATGGGGGATGGCTAGGGTAAAAACGGAGTGGGGCTTTGCTTCTAGGTCACATCCTGACAGCAATCTCTGTGCCCGGGAGGCTGGTAATGCTGGCCGGCCTGGCTTCTTGGGAGTTGTGTTGGCAGCCTGCAGTGTGCGTGTTCGTCCCGTAGCAGCTGGAAGAGTTGAGTTTCCGCAGTAGACCCTCCGTGGGTTTCTGAACACTGAGTGCAGAGCAGGGGGCTTTCCAGTTTTGGGGCGGTTGGTACCGCTGTAATGGTGTGTGCTGGGTGCACCTGTGTACGTCCACTGTGTGTTAATGGTGTTTGAGAGGACAAGCTTGGATGTGCAGGATGGGTGACAAAACTTTGTTCAAGCTGTAACATCCCTAACCCAAGACAGATGTCTACTGTCAGTCCCAAAAGGAACCCCGAAAGAGGACAAAATGGATAAATCATATCAATCACTGTGGCTGAAAACACAATTCGAAGCACGTGGCTCATCACGCAGTCTCTTCAGTGTTGAACAAGAGGGTCCATCCTCATTAAATGGATACTCTGTAATACTAGTTGATGTCTAACGATTTTTTTTCCCTCCTTTGGTCCTCATTTTACAGAAGCAGCTGCTTTAGCCAACAGCCTGGATTAATTAATTCTATAGATGAATTGAGGCAGGAACTAGCTCTATATCCTTGCAGCATCCTCCCCAGGGGACTTCTGAAAGAGCCTTCTGCTCTAGTCCTTCCTTTAGTTAAAAGAGTTTGCAATTAGGAAGAAAGGATCTGGAGTAGCTTATGGGCTGCTGAATGAAGTGTTTGTTCACTCAAGTCCTAGATTACGCGGGGTTCCCGTCACACCTAAGCAAAGAGAACTTTTATTTTCTTTGCTGCTGTAGCTCTCTATGGAACGAAGGCGAGGTCTGGATTCGGGTCCAAAAAGCATCCAAGGAAATTGCCCAAACTTGGAACTCCGTTGCGGAATTGTGGGGGGTTCTGTTGGCGTAGGGTGGTGGTTTTGCTTCATGATGCCATTGGATGGTGTCTGTCTCCCTAGATGACACTTCTAGAGGGCAGCATTGCAGTCAGTGGAACCTTCGCTTATGTGGCCCAGCAGGCCTGGATCCTCAATGCCACTCTGAGAGACAACATCCTCTTTGGGAAGGAATTTGATGAAGAAAGGCAAGGAATGTTTGGTTTCTGTCATGCTTTCCGTCTTGGCCGTGTGAGACGCAAGGCAGCCCACGTCAACAGGCTCTGCTCCAACCATGTCCCTGATGCTAAGTGTCTTTATGTCCTTCAGATACAACTCTGTGCTGAACAGCTGCTGCCTGAGGCCTGACCTGGCCATTCTTCCCAACAGTGACCTGACTGAGGTACCGACCTTCTGCCCCTAATGGGGCAGTGCGTTGAGCAGAGAGGATTCTGGAAGATGGGTGGCAGGGCCGTGCCAGAGCCACCTCCTAGTAATGTATCTTAAATGTGGGAGCACCTACATGGGGAGTTTTGCTTTCATTGGGACTTTATGTTCGGAAAGCATTTGTTCCTTAGGGCAGGGTTATCAACACTACTTGTTTTCAGCATATAAATATTTCATGTCATGTGGATTTTTTTTTTTTTGGTGAGAGTGCATGAGCGCATGTGCACACGGCGGGGGTAGGGGATGGAGGGAAAGGGAGAGAGAGCATTTTTTTTTTTTAAAGATTTTATTTATTTATTTGAGAGAGAGAGTGAGAGAGAGCAAGCACATGAGAGGGGGG